TATATATATATGAATGAAATATGAAGGTTTGGGGGTATCAAATGCATGTGGTTAAATAAAACGGTAAAATGGTCGGTCCATGTGTCAAAACCTTGAAGAAAATCTAACACATAAGAAGTTGATGTTGAAATTGAATTGCCGATTGTAGTGAACAATCACACACAAAGGCCATCTTTTGGTATGATGGATATACCATTCTCTCCTAACTAGGAATATACAGCCGTTGAATCTCACATCTAAAATTCGTCTCATCTAATATAGGTGTTACAAATTTATGGTGACAAAGAAGCCGGTACTAGCATTAAAAGGTATAGAGGAGGTATTTCAATACAAAACTATCAGATATCTATTTTTGTAGAAAATTATGTAGATACAAATTGTCGATGGTATGTTTTGGATGTAAAACTATATGACTAGCATGTTCTAGATTTGCAAAGTTGTGGACCAAAAGACATGTTCTGCAATATAATCGAATCAAAGCCATAACCAAGCACGCAAAAAAAGTGTTTGGACTTTGTTTCAGGATTGTTGGGTAATTGTAACGTCGTGATTTTTCACCTCATTTTTTTATTTCAAAAAACTGTTTTTAGACATAACATGTTACCGGAAATCTTACTTTATGATTATTTCAAAAACATCACCAATATTATGTTATAATCAAAAAACAACCCACGTCAAAGTTAAGTTTGCAAAACCAGCAGTAAATGAAATCTCTAACAAATCATGTGTTCGGCATGATGATGTTGAAAAATATGAATGCATGATCATGCAAGCTACTATGATAATCAAACAAGAGTTCACATCACCGGACTAATTATTCGCAAAATGAAAAATAATCGTCTATAAATTATTTGTCCAAAAGAATTATTCAATTAACTGTCGCCACCACATCGTGCTAGTATATATATATATATATATATATATATATATATATATATCACATTTTGTCAAAAATTTGAATTATATAATAAATGTAGATATATATTATATACATATATTAAAAATCAATGTCCTTATGAACAGTGAAGTGCACCGGTTTCAAATTTTAACCACAAACAATATGTAAATATTGACTCTTTTCGTCCTTCTAAATTTTCAACCATCTTCTTGCCCGATCGGACATTCCCACCGCCATCCGAATGTTCTCCAAATTCTTGAACTCCGTCCTTCTTCGATTCCGAGCCTATGACATTTCCACCATCTTTTCCTCCAAGCATTTACAATTTCGACTCTTCATATTCATAAGGTATTTCAATTTCAATCTCTTTCTCTCTCTCATACGCAAACAGTTAGCAATAGTTCACGATTCTGATCAACGACTTTCTCCAATCTTTCTGAATTTGTGCAAAAATATCGACAAAAATGGTTTCTTGATATGTAAAATTTGTTGCATTTGTTGATTTTCGAACTACTTCTTCAATCATGCTCCCAATCGGCAAAAAACGGCTTCATTCCTGTGGAACGAAAAATACCCAACATCCCATTCTTTCGAATCCGAAGGCTCGAAGATGAAATTCAGAAGATTGTGCAGGAATTGTCTCCACTTTCATCAATTAGGGTTTGATTTCTGATTCATAAGGTATATCAAATTCAATCTCTTTCTCTCTTTCATACGCACTCAGTGCGGCTTTTTCACTCTTCCTGAATTTTTGCAAAATTATGTTTCTCTGTTACCTTGATTGCCAAACTCTTTCAAAGCCGTTTCCTCCATCCCCCGTATATTACTTTGTAAAATCCTTACTTATAAATCAGAACATTATGCATATGGTAAACTTCTTGATGCCATATCTAAAGAAAAAATGGAATGACCATATGACAATTGATGACCCAAATAATGCTTGAAAATGATAAATAACATGGTCCAAATTCGAAGAGTAATGGTTGATGCAACTGTCAACTCAACCAAACAAACTGCAGAATGAAATCTAGAATTCCAGATCCATTGGAATCCAGGAACGAAACACAATCCGATAGTCATACCTTCACCCAAGACTCGATATTGATAAATACTCGAGGATTCAATGATACGATCGAGTCTTGGAAGACAAGTCAGAAAGAGGAATCGGTGTGTTGTGGATGTCTGATATCTCTGTGCGCAAGGAGAAGAAAAGAATTCGACAAATACGATGAAGGGGAGGCCAACATCAACGTGTGTCGTGTCAACGGTCTTTAAACAGAAAATGATCGAATAACAAACACAGGTGGTGCACTGTGGTGGGATGGATGGGAAGTGTTAAGAATCCTCGACCCTAATCTAACACCAAAAGGATATTGATGTATATGGCTTGATAAAGCGATACAAGACATAAACTCAAATATGAATATAAGTTATATTTGTTTGTAATATTTACATAAAAAG